CCTCAACCCTACTTTTTTTGGTAGGGTCCCTATAAATCCCTTATTAGGGTTTATAATAAGAACCTACAAAAAAGTGGGTTTTGGCTTCTTAAGGTACACCTGAATCATAAATTCCGGGCACATCTGAGAAACTCTCAACTCAAACGCCTGGGTCCTTCGTCCCTTGAGCCCTAAAGCGTCCCTGATGAAACCCTGAAGCCACAAAACCCAAAATCACCGGAACTCTCGCGGCCAAAAACTACCTGGGCTCCAGACGCTTGACCACGCTGCACATGAAAAGCTCGAGGGGGCGAACTGCGAAATCCTGCGTGTAGTAGACGTGTCTGGACTCTGGGGCTCTTGGTTCAGGGATTAGGGTTTAGGGTTTAGGGTTTAGGGTTTAGGGTTTAGGGTTTAGGGTTTAGGGTTTAGGGTCTATAGTCTCCATTGTAGTTCCTTTTTTTGGTTTAACCAATAATTCAATAATATAATACAGATTTTATAAGGTATCCCCAAAAAGGAGCTACAATGGAGACTGTAGGTAACGAGCATCCAGGCCTCACGGCTACAGGCTTTTTCGTTTAGGTAGTAAACCCCTAAACCCCTAAAACCCCTAAACCCCTAAACCCCTAAAACCCTAAAAACCCAAAATCCCTAAACCCCTAACCTTCCACCAACTCAACCACACGACATTTGGTCAACACCTCTGTATCTTCTGCTGAAGCCATCTGGGACCGTTGCGAATGCACCCATACGAGCTTGTGTCTATGTACTGTCTATATTGCCCGCGAAGAAAAGCATGGCTGAGGGCAAGTCAACCAACACCTGCCGAAGTGTCTTGCAACCCTACTATAACATATCTAGAGTATAGTCTAGTGTAGTATTATGTATTATAATCTAATGTCATAAATTCCCTGATGGCTGTGAGCACCCTGACTTTCAAGAGGTGGCTTGACTTTCCTTGATAAGTGCATAACTTCTAAACTGGAACAAGGAGGTCTTTCGAGTGTTGGGTCTACTTGTTAACCAAGCTCTTCCTGAAAAGCTCTGAGACTACAGTAAAAAATCATCGTTGCGCGCTCCGGACTGCTAGTTACAAGCTTAATGCAGGGGCCTTAATAATTAGAGTAGGGTTTGGGGGTATGGTAGACTTAATTCCAATAAGGAATCCCCAAAATAATGTAGGCAACTATTTAGGCCCCTAAACCCTAAACAACTGAGTAGCCAGTATAGTAACCCCTTTAAGGAACCCCTTGTCAGGAACCCCTCTAAAGAAACCCTATTCTAAGTATTGCGCAACCGTGCTTTCATGGCTGTTTCGAAGTCTTCGGCCCGCATGGGCTTCTCCGACACCGCTGCCCGAGCTACCAGTTCCGCTACGTGTCCTGTGTAGGCCGCGGTGAGGAACAAGAAACTGCGGAAGGCGCTTTGTTCTTGCGACAACCAGGTGTGGAAGCGCCGAGCCGCACT